GGCCGGCCCGTCAGATAGTTATGGATCCACGTGATGAAGATCCGGTCAACCCCTAACCTCTCCAGCTTTTGTTTGAGGATGTCTGGTTGAATTGTGTCGAATGCACTAGAAAAATCAAAGAACATTATCCTCACATATCCACCAGATTGATCCAGGAGGGAGTAGGTCCGGTGCAGCAAATACAGGATGGCATCATCCACTCCGATAGCCTCCTGATAGGCAAACTGGAGTGAGTCTTGTGCGTGATGTACCTGAGGCCTGAGAAGGTGCAGGACGAGCCGCTCCAGTGTCTTCATAATGTGGGAGGTCAAAGCCACTGGTCTGAAGTTCTTTAACTCTGTAGCCCGCGCTTCTTTTGGCACAGGGACGAGACAGGATGTCTTCCACAGATCAGGGACTCTGCCAGACTGAAGACTGAAGTTGTAGAGTGTCTGGAGCGGCGCCGCAAGCTGCTCCGCACAGTCCTTCAATAAACGCGGACTCACACCGTCTGGTCCAGGACCTTTGCAGGGGTGTAGCTTCTGCAGTTGTTTTTTCACCTCATCAGCAGTCACAGATGGGAGCGGTGAGGAAACAGAGGGAGCCTGGAGGAAGGAATGGTCGGGAGAGGGTGGAGGGGGGGATAGGAAAGGGGCAGGGGTGAGGGAGGATGAGGATGTTACATTGTGTCTGTTATAAAACCGATTGAACTCATTTGCACGATCCCTGTCACCAGCTGGTAAGCTCTGTCTTCCCTTCATTCCCGTGATCTTTTGCATTCCTCTCCACACTTCTTTGATGTTATTAGCCTTTAACCTTCTCTCCAGCTTCCGTTTGTAGTTCAGCTTGGACTTTCTTAAACTCCTTTTCACCTCCCTCTGTATCTCCCTTCGCTTTCCCTTGTCACCAAACACCCTCTTCTTTTCATTTAGAAGATGCTTCACGTCTGCCGTGATCCAAGGTTTGTTGTTAGGAAAGCACCTGACAGTGATTAGGGGCAGGGCAATATCTGTGCAAAAGTTTATATAGTCTGTTGTGCATCCCACTATTCTGTCAATGTCAAAGTCAGTGGTTGTCCTTCCATTGTTGTCCTGTAGATCCTGGATAACACTCCAGTCGGTGCATTCAAAACAGGCTCTCAGGGATTCACTGGCCTCTGACGTCCACTTCCTGAATGTCCGAGTTGTTACAGGCTGAGTCATTACACAAGGCTTGTATACAGGTCTCAGGTAAACCATGTTGTGGTCAGATTTACCAAGAGGTGGAAGTGCAGAAACAGTGTAGGCCTCTTTGACATTAACAAAGCACAAGTCCAAAGTTTTCTGCTCCCTTGTGGGACAGTCCACATATTGTGTGAATCCAGTCAAATGGGGGGGCAATGTTCACATGGTTAAAATCACCTGAAATAACAAAAAGAGCATCTGGGTGTAGTGTTTGCAATCTCACGACAGTATCGTGTATGACGTCACACGCTGCTGCCGGCTCCGCTCTTGGGGGGATGTAAACAATGATGGCGACGATGCTGTTGAATTCCCTCGGAACATAATATGGACGTAATCCGACTGCCAGTAGTTCAATGTCTTTACAACATAGTCTTTCCTTAGCAGAAATATGTCCGGGATGACACCATCTATTGTTCACAAAAATTGCAAGACCCCCGCCTTTGCTTTTCCCACTCGATTTCACGTCCCTGTCAGCACGCACCAAGGTAAAGCCAGGAAGCTCCACAGCAATGTCCGGTATTACATCCGTGAGCCAAGTCTCCGTTAGACAGAGAAGACTGCTCTCACGGAACTCTCGCTGATAGTTGACAAGCGCCGCGAGCTCATCACATTTGTTATGATAGGAGTTGACGTTACCCATCATAATCGACGGCACCGCCGGCTTGAATCTCCGCTTCTTAGCCTTTAGCCTGGCACCCGCACGGTTGCCTCGGAAAGGTTTTTTAATCTCCCGAGGAATCGGGTGTTTCATTCCGTGTCCAGACTTTCGTAGCACAAGGAGATCATCCCTGCTGTAGACGAGTTTACACATGACAGGCTCTAAAAACAGTGAAAAACAACGACAAACACGACAAAATATCCGGAGCTACTTCAGACTTGCTGCTTGCTCAGCGCATGCGCACTCTCTGGGTCAGGAGAGTTGAGACCACAGGGGTCGATCCTGGGACCTCTTCTTTTCAATCTCTACATGCTGCCGTTAGGTCAGTTAATACGCAGAAACGAAGTGTCCTATCATAACTATGCAGACGACACTCAGATCTATGTCTCACTGACTGCAGGAGAACATGGACCAGTGGACTCACTCCTTCACTGTATCCACCAGATCAGTAAGTGGAGGCAAAACAACTTCCTTCAGCTAAACGCAGACAAAACTGAAATGATTGTCTTTGGTCCCCAGAAACAAAGAGAGAGCGTCATCTGTCATCTACAGTCTCTCTCCCTAAAACCTTCAAACAAGGTCAGAAATCTAGGGGTAATACTGGACTCAGACTTAAATTTTAATAGCCACATCAAATCAGTCCCATCAGCAGCTTTTTACCATCTAAAAAACATTTCCAGGATCAAAAACATAGTGTCTAAAGCAGACTTGGAGATTCTTATCCATGCATTTGTCTCCAGTAGGTTAGACTACTGCAATGGCCTGCTCACAGGTCTGTCCAAACAGGCTGTAAAACAGCTGCAGTACATTCAAAATGCAGCAGCTCGAGTCCTGACTAGAACCAGGAAGTACGACCATATTAGTCCGGTCCTCAGGTCTCTGCACTGGCTTCCTGTGGCTCAGAGAATAGACTTTAAAACAGCTTTGCCTGTGTACAAGTCTCTCCATGGCCTCGCACCAAAATATATTAGTGACATGTTAGTCCCATATGAACCAGCCCGGACTCTGAGGAGCACAGGGACTGGACTCCTGTTAGTGCCCAGAGTCAGAACTAAACATGGGGAGGCTGCTTTTCAGATTCACGCTGCTAAAATCTGGAACATTCTTCCTGAAGATGTGAGACAGGCCTCCTCTCTGACAATGTTTAAAACCAAGTTAAAAACGGTGCTGTTTAGCTGTGCATACAACTGAGGGATTTTATATTTTTATCTTTCTTTTTAATGTTTTGTGATTATTTATGATTTTAATGCTATCTTGTTCAGCACTTTGAGTTGCCTTGTGTATGAATTGTGCTATACAAATAAACTTGCCTTGCCTTGCCTTTCTAAAACCAACACTGACATTAGTGTTAGACGTGGTGTTCAGGACAAAGCTAGCATCACGCTAACACAACACTAAACTAGATCTGTATATTGTCGAGTCATGAGTGACTTGAGGAGGTAGGATCTCAGTGAAACAGTTAGTATCCAGAGGACCTAACATAACTTCAGAGGTTTCACCTGCTTTAAGATGTTTCTGGCAAGTTTTTACACATTTTAATTTAAACAAGAACTTTTGGCCATTGGGATAAGAAATAAGTTCTTGTTTCATTGGAAAAGTAATTGTCTAAAGTTAAAGTTGTGTGTAACTAGTCAGGAATATCTAACAAACTTCAGATATTCAGTGTTTCAGTAGAAATCAACGATACCGTACCCTT